CTCTTTTATTTTGTCTTCTATCGGTCTACTTGACAATGAGCGCCTATTTTCTTCGAGCGAGTGCTAGGACTACTTTCTCTCGGTCTATTTACCTAGGTTGTATTCGTGTGTGCATGGGCGGATTAGGATATACCAACGGGACTTGCTTAACGTGGCATCGCAGAGAAGAAATAATGGTACCCTAGGTTGGGTTTATGGTTGATCAACGGGGCTCGGCTCTCTGGGAGCGCTTGCTGGCGTTGTGTACTCTCTCTCCCGCCGCCTTGTCTCAGAGTCTTGATCTCGTCTGCAGTCCGAAAATACAGGCATAAATTAAAACGCCCGAATCCCGTTCACAGTCCAGTACTTATCCAAAACATAAATCAAAAAGCACGGTTCACACACTAAACCCTAGTAGTGACCCCTCCATTTATCTACCGCAAAAATAGACGGGGTTTCGGACCCTGGATGGCGTTTTCGAGAGCATTTCACCTCTTGCACCATATCTCAATATGCGTATTCAGATTCTCAATACGCATATTCAAATCTCAATATGCATATTGAGATGTATGGGAAGCTTGTGTTGGCACCTCCCCCTCTCCCTCCCTCCCTCTCATGTCCCATTTGAATATGCGTATTCAAATCTCGATATATGGGAAGCTTGTGTTGGCACCTCCCCCCCCTCTCCCTCCCTCCCTCTCATGTCCCATTTGAATATGCGTATTCAAATCTCGATATATGGGAAGCTTGTGTTGGCACCCCCCCCTCTCCCTCCCTCCCTCTCATGTCCCATTTGAATATGCGTATTCAAATCTCGATATATGGGAAGCTTGTGTTGGCACCTCCCCCCCTCTCCCTCCCTCCCTCTCATGTCCCATTTGAATATGCGTATTCAAATCTCGATACATGGGAAGCTTGTGTTGGCACCTCCCCCCCTCTCCCTCCCTCCCTCTCATGTCCCATTTGAATATGCGTATTCAAATCTCGATATATGGGAAGCTTGTGTTGGCACCTCCCCCTCTCCCTCCCTCCCTCTCATGTCCCATTTGAATATGCGTATTCAGATCTCGATATATGGGAAGCTTGTGTTGGCACCTCCCCCTCTCCCTCCCTCCCTCTCATGTCCCATTTGAATATGCGTATTCAAATCTCGATATATGGGAAGCTTGTGTTGGCACCTCCCCCTCTCCCTCCCTCCCTCTCATGTCCCATTTGAATATGCGTATTCAAATCTCGATATATGGGAAGCTTGTGTTTGCACCTCCCCCTCTCCCTCCCTCCCTCTCATGTCCCATTTGAATATGCGTATTGAGATCTCGATATATGGGAAAGCTTGTGTTGGCACCTCCCCCTCTCCCTCCCTCCCTCTCATGTCCCATTTGAATATGCGTATTCAAATCTCGATATATGGGAAGCTTGTGTTGGCACCTCCCCCCCTCTCCCTCCCTCCCTCTCATGTCCCATTTGAATATGCGTATTCAAATCTCGATATATGGGAAGCTTGTGTTTGCACCTCCCCCCTCTCCCTCCCTCCCTCTCTCATGTCCCATTTGAATATGCGTATTCAAATCTCGATATATGGGAAGCTTGTGTTTGCACCTCCCCCCTCTCCCTCCCTCCCTCTCATGTCCCATTTGAGATGAATTTTGAGCTTGTGTTGGCACCGCCCCCTCTCTCCATCCACCCCCCGCTCACAGTCCAGTACTTATCCAAAATATAAATACAAATGCACTTCAATGATGTATCACATAAATAGATTGTTCGGAGCTTGTGCTGGCACGTACACCCCTCCCTCTCATGTCCCACTTCCCTCCTCTACAACTGAAAACATGACAGGTGAAACATGGGGCAGGTGGCGACGAAAACGGTGGAGGAAGACAGGCAGTGTGTGCAAAACAATGCGGGGGGGGACTGTGGTCTTTACGGGATGGCTCTCATCGCCTTGCATGCTGGTGGGATGGATCCACGCGACGCGCAGGCCATACTGTCGCTGGACGGCGCGTCTCCCGAGGCTAAGGTGGCGATGAAGGAGTTCTTGGCGCTCTGTCGGAAGCTGGTAGTGGAGTACGCCGCTGAGACGGGGCAGCTGTTTTACCCCGTCGACCGCCCACCCAAGACGGACGAAGAACTCGCGAAGCTGGCCAAGTCGGATGCACGAATGGGCAGCCAGCGCGACTGGGATATCGTCACCGTGATGGATGGGTCTTACCTGGACGAGAACGCCATCCTGATCATCGGGAAGCTTTTCGGCCTTCCGGGTGCGCAAATCGTCCAAGAGGATGAGCGGACTGGACGGCTGTTCGACGCCATCAATGCTCCCGAAGAAGAGCTAGGAGCACCTCGTCCCCTGGGGGAACACTTGCTGCTACACCACCCCCAGCGTGTGCACTTCGAGGCTCTTGTACCCAAGGTCAGATTACTTTCGTGTTGGCAGTTTAATTTTTCGTGTTTTCGTGAGCCGAACAATTTGCGCGTCGGAATACTCACCCCCCACTTCCTCCCACCTCTCTTCCCACCAGAAAAGCATGTCGGAGCCCTTGGTTGACCCATGTGGACCCGGAGACGTCATCTGGGCGGTGCGGTACCTCACCGAGCTTCTGAAGATGAACTTTGAGGCGCTCGTCGGCGACGCGGAGAAGGACGGTGAGACGGACGGGGAGACGGACAGCGACGCCGGTGTGGAGACGCCCCCTGGTGCTGTGACCGAGGCGCTTCCCGAGGCCGCCGCCGATGCAGAGACGGACGGCGAGACGGACAGTGACGACGCTTCTCCCGAAATGATTTCTGAGGTAAGCAATGTTAAGGTCGATTGGAATGTACGTCGCCGGTTTTGTTGAATCGCAGCCGATCTAAACTTAGTTTTATGGTTGGCGCTTTGATTTGTTCTCAGGGGAAGGCCAAGCTAAGGCTCGGCGACTGGTCGGACGAGCAATGCACTCACTGGGAGCAGATTAAGATGGACTTTGATGACATGGACGACACCGACGAGCCCAGATCGTACGCGTACGACACGGGCAACATGTACGATGTACTGGAGATGGACGGGGAGGACGCCGACGACCACGTGGACGGCGAGGACGACCCCCAGGAACACGACCAACCCCGGGGGAGCGTGGACGAGGAGGACGACGCGTCCGCGGATGACCCTCCCGAGGAACATGACGAACCTCGGGGGAGCGTGGACGAGCCCCGGGAGCACGCGAGCGCGGAGGACGAGCCCCGGGAGCACGCGAACGCGGAGGACGGTCCCCGGGACGCCCCCTACGTTGTCGAGGAGGACGAGTGGGTGCCACGGGTTCGTGTGACCAAGCCTCGCAGCTGGCGGAGGACTGGTCGTCGTCAACTCAAGCACCAGAACCGCCGCCGGAGCGAGAAACGCCGCCGCTGCCGCCGCCGAAGACGCCAAAGACGCGGGGCCGGTGGCCTCCGCCGACGTGCCCCGATACGAGGCGGAGCGGACCCAGGGGACGGACAGGTGTGTCTTCTGTCTTTGTTTTTTTCATGTTTACGTACGGCGAACCAACATTGTCTTTGTTTGTATTGTCTCCTTTGATCGATGGGTTGTTTGGTTGCTCAAGCGGTCACGCACCGTGTACGCTAAACGTCACACTCTTCGACTGTTTTGGAACAGGTGCGGCGGACGTCGGCGCGGGACAGGAGAGCACCCAGGAAACCCGACGAGCCGGAAGATTTGTCGTCCAAAGCTCGATACGACGATGCTTGGTTCGAAAAAAGAGAGAAGGAGTGGTTAGATTTGCCGGAGCCAGAAAGAACGACCCAATTGGACTGGGGCAAGGGCCAGGTTGAGGCGTGGAAAGCCGGGAAGGAAAAGAAAGCGGCATGCATGGAATGCAGCAAGGGGACTTGGTACTCGGACAACCCGATTCTGCTGTGCGACGGTTGTGTTCGAGGGGCCCTGCATCTCAGATGTACCAAATTTCCGCTTGAGGCTATCCCGGGCGAAGAGGATGAGGTGAGGTCATATTGGCCTGTCATTTATTTAGGCGCAGAATGTAGCGATGGAAGTTTTACAAGTCCTGCCATGTGTACCTCCGATGTTTCGTGAACCTGATTGCGTGTTGACCTTCAGATGCTCACACGTCGTGTTTAACCGCGTCCTTCCATTGCTCGCTCTCCCTTGAACAGTGGTTCTGCGACGCGTGTAGAGAGAAGAGAGGGGAGACACCGCCGGTACAACCGACGGTCGCGGATGGGCCGGGGTCGACTCAACCGCAGCCGCAGCCGATGAACGTGGACGGACCGGGGTCGACTCAACCGCAACCGCAGCCGATGAACGTGGACGGGCCGGGGTCGACTCAACCGCAGCCGCAGCCGGGGGGCGTGGGTGGGCCGATGGAACGGGCTCCCGTGTCAACTGTAGCGAATCCGATCACGGCCACCAAAAGGAAACCGCGCGCTGCATCGAAGGGTAAGGCCAAAGCTGGCAAGACCAAAGCCGGTTCGACGGCTGGCAATGTGCGCAAACGGCGGGTCCGGAAGCCAGCGAGGGTCGTCGCGAAGGAATATGCGCGCATCCTCGAAGATGTTTTGAACAGTGACGAGATGGGCACGTTTGTGGAGGCAAGCAGGGCAAAGGCCGCTGAAAAAGCGAAACACTTCGAGAATACGTGTCCCCGCACCCCCAATGAGCCGCCTTCGTCTATCACATCGATCCCTCTCATTGCCAAACTACTCACTAGAGGGTTGTGCGACGACCCATTAGACGGTATCGAGATCTTGGACGGGGTGTTTTTCAAGCGTGCCGCCCTTGATGCGCTCGAGCGTTACTTCAACTGGGAGTACGTGTTCGATCCAGAGAGCATCGGGGTGTTCTTGGGCACGACCAAGGTTGGCATCGACGACGAGGAGTTCGTGGTGGAGTCGTTCGACTGTGGCGAGTACAGCCTGTCGGATGGTAGCGTAATGCAGCAGTGGGGCGTCCTGGAGAATCGGACCGACGGTGGCGTGACACTGGAGGATGAACAACGGCGGTTCATCATCCATCTGGTGACGACGTACGTGAACATGATGGCTCATGTCGTGCCGGTTGTGATAGAGGAGTCCACCCCAAGCATGGTGAAAGATATGATGTGGAACCCCGTGGAGGCTGGCAAACGTGAGACGAACAAGGAGCGGAGGGAGGAGCTGGACCAAATCATCAACCGCGTAAACACTCTGCGGGACCTGACCCTGAGGATCTTCACTGGAGCCGCCGTGAAGGACACACTGCCCGCGAGTTTCTGGGATGTAGAGGGAAACGAGGAGTTGCGCGAGTTCGCGGAAGAGGCTGGATCGCTCAAAAAGATTAACTTCCTCGGTCGTCTTGAGTGCGTCCACAACCGTGAGGTGAGTCACGCCACGGTAGGGGTTAGAATTCGGTCCCAGTGGATGAAGAGCCCCCAAAGACGATGCAAAATCAAGCCTGCTGTTCTCTCTCACCCATCGTAGCCTCGTTGTTTTTTCCTTTATACGTATTATAGAAACATTTATGCCCAACCCTGTCGCGGCACGCCTCAGGTGGTGGCTGGAAAATTGTTCACCGGAGAGATTGTGACAGGAGGTTACTCTGAAGCACCCAAGCCAGACCGTGTAAGCGGGGCCTGGCCTGCGAAGCTGAGGAGCATCATCGTGCAATTGACATGTGCGTATCGATTGGGCCGCTCGAACAACCTCCTTGAGGCATATTACGCGCTGTCTGAGGCGGAGATAGAGCTTGTGATGAAGGGTCACCGCAGCCACTGGGGGGTCAACCTAGACTACGGTCTCCCACATCTTGACCGATTGACATGGGCACAAACAACTGCCACCGATGCCGACCTTCAAGGAGAGAATTCGCACGCGTTACGTTTTGCTGTGAAGCGCTGCCGGGTTTTCAACCCCAACATTGCACCCGTGACGGTAGTTGGGTGTGGGATTCGGGACGCTGAAAAGTACGGGAGTCTTCAACGGGACTCGCTGGACTCGAAGTACTTTAGTCACGCTCGAATTGGCAAGAAACTCGTCCCTCCACTGATGGGGAATGCTTCGTGTAGAGAACCGGCGAAACAGGCTGTTGAAGCATCGGGGAAGTTGTTTGATGTGGCAAGGAATGGTAGAGCCAAGGCAACTGCTGAAAAGAGCGGGGCCGTGGGACCTGCGGCCAAAGTCCGTAAGCAGAGGGTCATTTTGTTGGAGCTAACGCCAGAGGAACGGGAGAAGGCCATGGATATGTTCATGGCAGCTATCACCAAGAATGGTTGCGGGCGCCTGATGGACGCCATCAAGAAGCATGACCCCGGTTTCGTAGAGTGGGGGAAGGAGTGTCTGGCGAAGGCGGATTTAAAGTCTAGTGTGTATACGAGCAGGGACAACTATCTTGAAACGCCCGACGACGGCCGCTCCGAAGACCACCTGCTGGGAAACACTTCCGCAGAGATTCAGCGTGGGCAGCAGAGGGTGGCGCGCCTCATGACGAAGCTCGATGCAGAGAATGGTTTCAAGCCTAAAGACATCTCCGTCTTCAGCGTGGCTCTGGCGCTGGCTTGCCTGTTCGCAGGAGCCTGTCTTCGCCCCCAAGACTTTTTCAGGTGAGGTGAATCAGGAATGTGGTACTGTAGGCGTAGGGCCCGATCGCTATAATAATAGTCGCGCACGCAACAAAGGTTATTGAGTTGCGCGTAGCCCCCTGAATTACTGTGTGATGCTGATGTGTACAGTTGAATGGCGCAATATTCCAACAGGATGGTGGCCAGTCAAATGTACTACGACGCGAAGCTGAAGAGGATCAAGATTCGGCTACTAGACGGAAAGCAGACGGAAAAGGCCGAGAAAACCCCCTCGCGGGTTTGCATGTACCATGAACTAGAGGGTGCAGAGGTCGTCGATTGGTGGGTAGTGATGGCACTGGTTGGGCGACCGTTTCTGAAGAAGCACAACCAAGGGTTTCTGGACAAATCATTCGGTCCACTGGGAACGGACGGAGAGGTTCTGACCGAGTATGTGTTTGGCGTGGTACTGGAGTCGATCGGAAAGGCGTTCTTCTCCACGGGGAATGCTGATGTCAACGCACTTCGGTCCGTACAAGAGTCGCTGGCCGCCGAACACATGGTCGAACTGGGGATCCCAAAGGACTCCGTAATCAAGGGCGAGCTGTCCAAACAGATGAGGACTTCAAACGAGGTAAGAATCCCGTGTGTGTCTTGTGTGCGATTTTGGGAGACACATACGTATTAATAGTTCTTTTTTGTCTGGTTGGAAATTCACGGCTAATGCTGACGTTAAACATTTTCCCTCGTCCATTCTGTTTTTGCACCACACCACAACAACTCCAGGCCCTCGACGACGCCTACGACTTGAGGACAGCAGATCCGGTACACGTAGTGAGGCGGAACTGCAACACCGAGAAATATTCTTGCAAGGGAGGGATCCGGGGAATGCTCATCTCAAGACGCCTTGCGCTCGAGGGCGTGTCGGAAACTTCTTCTTCTGCGTGCGACACCGATGCGGACAGTGGTGGTGGTGATTTCGGTGGCGAGGTTGACGCGGTGATGGCCGGCGTCGATCGAGAAATTGAGATGGAGCGCAAGATAAAACTTTTGAGGCAGTTGAAGACCGAGAACGCATCCTGTGGCGGGGGGGCTACACCTGCTACGGTGGCGCCCGCGCCCACCGGGGCTGCGCATTTGGCCGCTGCTGGCGCCGAGGAGAAGCCGAAGAAAATCAAACGGGGACAGATCCCGGGCCAGAGCGTGAAGTACGAGCCAAAGCCGGTAAGCGCGCACGTTCGAGACATGGCACGTATGGATTGGTTTGTTAATACGGCAAGTTTGGGTGCGTGAATACAATGTCATCGGTGCCATCTAACAACACCAGCGTTGCGCATTGCTTGATGAATCGACCTCAGGGGAGGCCAATCAAGGACAAAGAACGCGACGGTTTGAAGGAGGTGGTGGAAGAGATCAAGGGTGCCTGGGAGCGGGCCAAGAAGAGGCAATCGGCCAAAAGCAAAGAGCATAAAGTAGATCCCGTGTATCACTACATGAGCTTGCCATCAAACCGTAACGCGAAGCTACCTATGGTGTGGACGTTGCAAGAGATAGACGCAGACGAGTTCCAACCGGGGGATTGGTTTAGGCGTTTACGCTGCTCTCAACGGAACCGTTCCCAGACGACGTTCAACAAAACAGTTGATCGCGCCGAGGCACAGGTCACAGGCTTCACGTGGTTGTCTTGGCAGCAAGTCGACGGGTAGATAGAACAGATGGTGGTGTTTTGTTTGCGGTATCCCCCGACCTAGCGGATGATTTTTTAATTCAAATGGCGTGATTTAACCGGGGATATGGGCCTGACGTGTCGTGGCTTAAGGGATATTGATGTGCGCCTGTCGTCTTGGTAGTAGGTAGACGCCTTGCGGCGTGTGTTTGCATGCACGCCCGTTCTGGAAATTGAATTAAGCAATTGTAAAAAAACATGCCCTCAGGGGCCCGTGCCTCTAAAACCAGAGTCCGTGCTCTGCACGCGTTCATCGTTCTGGCGACATATTTTGGGGGCGTAAAATCACCAGACTTTAATATATTGCCCTGCATTTATCCGATAGCGCGATGATTGAGCTGCGCACATTCTACGCGGGAGTGTGGAAAACCGTGTTGCTGGATGGACCTACGAACCGGGTAAAACGCACAAAAGTAACGCCAAGCATGAGAGCTAATATGTACTCTGACCAGCACGGTACTTGTGCCTACTGTGAGAAACATATCACACGAACACCAGCCGATTTCGACGTTGACCATATCATACCGATCAGCCGGGGCGGGCCGACGTGCCGCACGAACCTACATTTGCTTTGTGTTAAATGCCACAGAACTAAGACTTCGGTAGAGGGTCGGGAGGACGCAAATGTCACGTATCCCAGCGACTCGGTTGTCATCAAGACTTGTCCAGGGTTCCCAGCGGTTCGACCGGCAGACCTGCAACATCTGAAAGCCGGTACTTACTCTCTAGACTTCGGGCCTCACAAACCACCCCGGCATGCTGTCGCTGAGAATAACTCGGTGAAATTTAAACGGTGTCGGGGCATGTCGTACAACAAGCCGGCATCAGAGGCTGATTGCATAGGCATGCAAGAGCTGGCACGAGCCGTCGGGAAAGCTTGGAGACGGGCCAAAAAGAGAGGCGCTAAAGACGAAGTTTTCAAGCGAATGAATGGAAAGCGCATGGTATCAGCAACACTCAATCTGGTTTGGTACTTGCTACATGAGGATGAAGATTTCCAACCGGGTGATTGGTACACCAGCAGCCAATTCGCCAAGGTCAAAAACCCGGGGAGTTTCGATAGGAAAATTTTGGAAGTGCGAACGAAAGTCTCAGGATGGAGATGGGAGTCATGGAGGAGCTGACGTTTCTGTATGCGGTGTTTACAATGTTTGTTGATTCGATTCGTAGCCACCCGAGCCCAAGTGGCGGAAATCGGCGGCGGCAGCTGTACCAACGGTGCCTCATCGCGACTCCGGTAACCCAAGGCGCAAAATGGCGCCAAAGTTATCACCTGCCGGGTCACCGCTACTCCATCCCTTCGCCCGCTGTCCCGAAGGAGATCATGGTGGTCTGGGCGGTAGCGAAAGTTTATCCTTAAGATTGGAATGCTTGTGTCGAAAGAAACCTCACAAAAGACATCATGCCTGCCAAGAAAAAACGCTCCGAGGAACACAAGGCGAAGATCGCTGCGAGAAAGTTACGGAGTTCGCCCAAGACGCCCGACATTTGGAACGGGTGTATCGCTTCGCAGCTACGCAATGATTTAAAGGGGAAGGTCTCCTACATAAGAATCAACGGAGAGGGACCGGTCGAACCCGTAGCAGACATGGAAACCCTCGAGCGCATGGCCCGACTGCTGCAAACGGATAGTGGTAGGAAGTTGTTTCAGCAAAATTGAATTTGATTAAGCCTGGCTTTTTCTGCTCCTTTCGGTGGTTCACGTAAACACAGTCCATGGTTTTTGGCACGAAAGCGGGCCGCAACGCAAGGGCGTTTGTTTTGTGTGCCACATTCGCCCCCATTTTTGCGGTTGTTGCGTGCGGCTGGAGCCGAAGCCTCGCGGCAATCGCGCGCTGAATCAAGCGTTTTCACTGAAAGGCTTTCCCCTTAAGCATTACGAAGAAACCATGTGAACAAACTGAACTGAGAAGCTGCTGCAGCTGAACCTAATGCAATCTTCACGGCGTGCTAACTTGGCCGGGGCAGCAAACGATGCGGATCGCTTGCTGAATAAGATCGGCGTCGCGTGAAAAATAGGTCCTTTCGACAAAAGGCTTTCCCCTGAAGGTAGTGTGCCTCGTCGGAATGTCGCGGTTGGCTTCCTCGCCGTACTTTTGGCCATACAGGCGCTTGGCCACTTTGCCGACCTGTCCCGCCCTTTCTCCGGTCGATATGCCGAGCTTTGCCGCCTCCACGCAGATGGATGTCTCCGGACCCCGAACGCTTGCGCTGACCTTGTGCGTCGCGATGAGCTTCCCTGTCTCCGGGTCGATCGAGTTATCAAAAGGGGTCGCGATGAGCGTGGAAGAATCACCGACATCCCCCGGGGATGGGGCCGGGGCGCCCAAGAGGTTGTCAGCCCTGCTCGCGCGCCTCTGCGTGTCCCGGATCCTATCGGCGTACTCGATTTCGTCACGCCCAGCGAACTGACCGACCGACTCCAAGCCAACCTTACACACCTCGTGCATCTCAAGTTCAGTCACGACCACGCTCTTCTTGACTTTGGCCGCAACATAAGCGCTCTTCTGGTCGCTCGTGGCGTACTCGAACCATTCCGGCAATGACTTGTGCTTTTTGGTCGGCGCTTGTCCCGTCATGACAGACTGGTACGCCCTGCCGTCCTCGGTGTTCTGCAGGCGCGCACATCGCTGCTCTATCTCGGCGCACAGCGAGACATCGCCACCGAGGACGCGCGCGATGGTGTCGGCGGACTGCTTGCGGAACTCGCGTGCGGCGCGCGCGGGGAGCAGCCAAATGATCTCGATGGCCGTCGGGGCGTCGCTTACCGGGGTAGGGTTGCCTTTACCGTTGATCTTGATACGTTTGATACGATCAGCAAGGGCTACCGGACCATGTACCGTTGGTCCATGGTTGTTTGCGCCACCCGCAGCCTCTTTTTCAAGGACACGGGTAAGCATGTGTGCAGCGTCTTCCGGAGACGCACCCGGGCACAGCATGTTGATGACGTCGATGTCGGACAGCATCCCCGTATTTTCATCCACCCGAACCGACCCTTCAATATTCATGGCCCGAAGCGCCTTGCGCAGAACGACTGCCTTCTTCTCGACCCCCTCCTCCGCCTGCTGCACCGGTGGGTGAGCTTGCTCGACTTGACCGGATGAGACAACACTGGCGACGCGCTCGCGGAGAGCATTCTTGAAGGCCGGACCCGACGACTGCCGCCACTGCTGCCAACTCGCGCCGCTCATCTTATCGAGAATGTCGCAGCACAGGTCAACCGTGGCTGTTTTGGTGAACCTCCCATTGATCAGGGTTCTGTCCATCGAGGCGCCGGAGCCCTCCAAGGCGCGATGCACGCCTTTCAGTACCGAAGAGCTATGGAGTTCCGGCATGATGTGCCAAATGAGCGTTTTGACCCCAACGACGCCCGTCGTAGCGTCGATCATGATGCTGTCCATCTTTTTACTCAAGGCAGTAGATTTGTTTCTGGAGCTTTTGAACGCGGTGGTGCTGATTATGAGACACATGTGCGCCGCTTTCAAGTGTTAAGTTTTGAGTAAACATTGTACCTATACTATTATTTATCATGGCATGCGTTCTGTCAAGGATGACGTGTAAACTTCGGACTCAGCATTTATATAATAATACCTCGGAGTAGAGATCGCAAACGACTGCTCGTGGAATGCACACATGTCCAAGGTAGCAGAAAAGGGCAAAGCACGAGCAGGGAAGCTGCACCCAATACTCGCAAACCGGCACCTCGATACACGCATCAAATTGGCGGTTTTGAAGAGCGTAATCGTACCGCCGCTAGAGTACGCCGGAGAAGTATGGGAAGGAAATAAGAAGGTAGTGAAAGAACTCGAGGCGGCGCAGATGAGAGCAGCGAAAATCATCCTAGGATGCTCCAAGCGCGCAAGTAATGCAGCCGTCAGGGCAGAATTGGGGATCCAATCCCTACGGTCGGGAAGAGACGCAAGGAAGCTGACGTGGCAGTATCGCATGTGCGGGATGGGAGAGGAGAGGTTGCCGAGCATAGTATGGGAGGCGAAGTGGGCAAACAAAAAGAGGGGTAGACAACCCACGGAATGGGTCAAGGATGTAGAGGACGTATGGAAGGGGTTAGACATCGACGAAGATGAAACGCTGGACACGGAGGGTCTACAGGGGTTCAAGGAGAAGATATCTATTGCTTGTGCCGAGAGAGAAGAACGGAATCTAAGGAAAGAAACCAAGGATAAGGAGGGTCTAGAAGTGTACGGAATGTTGAAAGAAATAGGGTTCAAGGACTACCTACATGGACCAATGGATGCAGGGACAAAGCTTAAGGTCAAATTCAGGACCGGGGACATAGGCCTTCGAGAACGTCGACGAAAACATAGGACGGTAGACGACGAAGACGACAAGTTCAAATGTGATTGCGGCTTCGAGTGCGAAGACTGTGTTCATGTAGTCGCGGAATGTCCGTGGTACGAAGAGGAGAGGGAAGTGTACACGACCGAGCTGGGAAAAATAAAAGGGAGGTACAGGGAGATGTTTGAGGCATGGAATAGAGAGGAGAGGACGGTAGCTGTACTGGGGAGTAGGAAGTGGTTTGAAAAGGCGGGAAGGGATATCGTTAGGATAGACAGACTCGGGAGGACATTTTTGAGCCACCTTTGGCAAAGTAGGAAGGAACGATTGGCCATCGGTGATCGGTCCTGTGGGAACAATGCTCCGTCCTCTCGAGGACGCGTGGTCAATGGTTTAACCGGGAAGACATGCAAAACATAAGAGTACGCCCCCCCCCCCCCCCCCGACAAAATACTTTGGGTTCCTCCGCTGAGAGCGTTACGTACACGTATGCATAGAACGCAAGCAGGACAAAAAAAATGTCTTGCATTATTCTCGCGTCGAGTTGATTGCACGAAACGTGCGTACGCGTGTGGTACCGAGGTGTCGTCGGGGTTGGTATTATTATGGGTGAGGTAAAAGAAAGGTGTAGCACCTTGTCGCGGGGGTGGCCTCTGACGGCGTATGGGGTATTGTACATCCATCTTCTACAACATTATTTCTATCAGCGGTGAAGAGAGCACCGACAACAACAACACAACAGTGACAGTTGTTAACTGTATTACTACTACTACTGCTGCTGCACTGGATAATACTACTGCCTGAAGAGGTAGTCTAATTCAAGTAGGCCTACAGCAGTACAGTAGTCTACTCCAACTCGCCTCTACCGCGCTACAGTAGTGCATGGTATTGTACACAGAGCACCGATGGTGACGATGAGAGCAGCAGAGCAAACCATCGAAATCTGCCTATGATTTTGTATATTACATTCATTCGGCGTTGTGTACCCGAAACACGCAGCCAAGACTTACGTTGTAGTACCTACAGGACGACGACGACCACCAGAGAGGGATGGGAGAAATACATGCAGTATGGAAACGGAGAGGTAAAGAGAGGAGGAGGTTCGCATCCCGCAGACATGGAAACGTCTTTGGGTCGGCGGACAGATGGGGGATCCGGCGCACCGGTCCATGGTCCCCGGTCCACACGCACAGAACCAGAGAACCGATCTTTAGCCAGCAGAGGAGCATAAAGCAGCTTGCCCAACAAAGAAATCCCAGAAATTTCCCTGGATGTTCAATGGGCCCTCTGTATGGGTAGGCGCCACGCACACACACACACACCTTCCTGCTTCTTCGCTCTTGCTTCTCCTCCCCTCTTCTCCACACGCTCACCACTTCTCTACAGGGACCGATCAAAGGGGCACTCCTGGACTGTCAGGTAAGGCTGCTTGCCTTCTCGTGCGGCCTTGGGGTTCGGCGCCCTGTCTTGTGCTCGGCGTGTGTGGCGGTGGTGCGGTGTTGTCATTTGCTTTTTTTTTTTAGTTCTTTGTAGCAGAATTGGTGACACGCTTTACACATAGAGTGGACGTCAAGAGACAGCCATATGCCCACAAGGTCGGAAAAGGGCATTGATGCGCACCCTTGCGACAAGCCCTTACCTGCCTCTACTGGCGGAACAGCTTCCTCGCGATTGAAGGCTTACAGCAGTTGCGTGTGCGTCGTCCCCTGAAGCCATGGCAAGCTGAAGGCATTATGTTGTTTTCTGCGTAAATCGCGGTTCCAAAATATCATGAGTGGTCCGCTTTTTGGCACCGTGGCCTCTCCTGCCCATCGTGGTTGGGCCGTTTGTTGTTACTCTCCCATTGATAGAATACTGCTGTTGGCGTGGTGTGTCTTCACTTGCGTACCCAGTTTGGGCCCCTACGAGTTGCTTTCTCCTCCCACGTTCTGGCGTGCGCTTAGAAACGACTCCGGGTGGTCAGGGAGCGAGCTCATGAGTTGGGCGCCGAAATGCACTCTACCATTTACAGACAAAAGCTGGCATAAAAAAGATCCGAAAAGAGGCTCAGATTTTTTTCGGCATGACGTGGCAGCAGCCCCCCCCGCTGATTGGCCGAAACACTCGCGTGCGCCGTTCCCCACGCCGCTTGCTTCTTCCCTTTGGTCTACACGAAAGAAAATAAAAAAAAGTAGGTGTTGGTGTTGCTTGGTTGGCTGCTGCTATCGTCCAAGGTGCCAGGTTCATCTAGCGGGGGTGTTGTCAACGCAGAGAAGTACCCTGTAGAAAGGCTTTTCTTGCAAGCAAACTTCTCAGCCGCTTGTTCCAATCAAGCGAAAGAGAGAGGGGCGGCGGTTCATTCAGAAGCAGCTCGCAGCAGCAGCAGCAGCAGCTTCAACCGAGAACAATCACCCTCACACAGCTGTCTAGAGGGGTGGCGCCGATAGAAAGTATCACTTGGCAACTTTTGGGCCACCTCCCAGCAGTTCGAGTGGTCTACACAGCTCATGGTCTGGGTGTTCTCCTGAACTGTTTGTAGACAAGAAAGTTGTTCTGTTTTGAGGCTGGTGATACCCGTACGTGTCTCATCCCACCGCCCTTCCTTGGTCGGTTCCTTCCACAGCGATCACCTCATACACACACATATACTACGTGCTGTAGACGCTCACCGCCCGCATCTGGGAAGGAGTAGTAGATCTGTATGTACATGGGTGTGGGTGACAGGAGGTTTGGACGAGTCTGTCTGTACCCTGCGATGCCATGTTCTTGTGGTTTACTACTCTGTTGCTGCCAAAATGTCTGGACCTCTTGAACAGGTACCCACGCCTCAGATAGAGTGAGGTTTTTGTGTGAGACGTGGGCGGAAAGTGGGCCCGTCGCCGATGAATAATTACGTGACCGGCTACATAATCCAAGAAATCTGACCCTCTTTTTGTCTGACCCAAAATAAGAATTCCGAAAGGGTGGGTCTACCGAAAATGCCTCAACCAACCTCATCATGTGCGCCTCTTTGTTTTTTGTGTGTTGTCCCTTCTATGCTTTGTAATGTTTGGTGCTGCCGGGTCGTCCAGGTGGACAAGAAGACTGCGGTCCGCACCACACAGCGTAGCGCTCGGCATTGGCTACCACTACACCGTCGGACTACGATTGCCATCAGTCATGGCACGCACTCCAGGAACCCACCCTCGCCTTGCGTCGCTCTACCTCCTGGTAGCCGCTACCGCGGTCGTGCTGCACGCCGACGCGCAGGGTGTAGAGTGCGCGGAAGCCGCAGTCACACAGGCATGCGGTGAGTAGTCAAACTGGCGAAACTCCGACACGCTGAAGTTTGTTTCTTCTTGATCAGGTGGAGTAGGGGAGTGGCCGACCGCCCCCAAGCGCCCCAAACGGGGTTGGAATCACGCCGACGAACCAACCCCTTGTACAGAATAGGTGTGCACGGGGAGCAAATGCTTGGTGCAGAAAATAACTTGGTATGCAGCACTGCTGCTGTAGCCCGCCAGCGTCGAGTCGAATGGTTTTTGCGTGCACACGACGTTTTCGCTTTGCAAGGTCGCAGTTGCGTATGCATGGCAGATACGCACCATACCTGTGTTGGTGTGTTTCGGATAGCTATTCGCGAAGTTGGAAATCGCCACTCGTAACCCCAGGAAGTGTGTAAAGCCTGGTCGCGTAGGCCCCGGACGAGAAGCAGCCCCCCCCCCCCTCCCTGCCGGGGCTTGGAAAGAACGTGAAAACACCAGCTTCTTCCCAGTGTTGGGCCCCTTGAATGGAGTGGTACTCCTTCCCAACGGTAGGACACGTGCGTTTTTTTTTTTTCCCTCGGGGACGGATCTCCCCAAATTCCGTTTTATTTACAAAAAAAACATAATTGAAAACACGGCTCTTGGCCCCCCCATTGGAAACCCTGGAGGGACAGAAATACCTGGTTC